TTATGATAAAGGTGTCATGGTAAAAAAATTTAAGCTTCAGTTATTAAAGATGCACTTCTATGGAGCAAATACGCCACAATATGTACCATACATATTTTTTTTTTTTTGCTGCCAAAGCTTTTGAAATCATGAACCTTTAATGAGTGAGCAAATGGTGCGAGCTGGAGGCTCTTCAGCAGGATTCCATAACAGTTCCAGGAAAACCACTGAATATAAAACAACTAGACAATAAGGAATTATAATGTAAGAAGAAGAATAGTATGAGCTGATGGGTTTTGTCTGTATTCTGATAGATTCATTGCAAATGAATGAATGAATAATGAATGAATGAACAAATGAACAAACAAATAAATAAACAAATAAATAAATGAATAAACGAATAAAAAATAAATGAATAAATAAATGAATAATAAATAAATGAATGAATGAATAAATAAATAAATAAATAAATAAATGAATAAATGAATGAATAAACGAATAAATGAAATAAATAAATAAAATAAATAAATAAATAAATAAATAAATAAATAAATAAATAAATAAATAATGTATGTACATTGTATATATGGTTTTGTCTCATTCACTGTAATAGACACATTTTGAATAATTTAGTACAAGTAATGTAAAAATCTGGTAATAATATGACTATGAAATTAACATATGCCAGTGAATGCCATGTTCCATCTTGCCAAGTGCATTCCTTAACATAGACACAGAAATCGCTCATTAAATTCCCAACAGAGGCTGAATTTTCGTTCCTAAAATCCCCAAGGGAAATCCAATTTCCAACTAAGTTGAATGCATAATGTGAAATAGGAGGAAACAATGTTCTCTGTATAAAGTCTTATTTTGAGTCAGAATTCAATTAAGTTGCTCTCAGAGTGAAAGATTGATGGAAATTCAACGGTAATACAATCCCCATTCACTAGGAATTGATCATTTCCAAGAACGTACGAGGCTCATCAAAGCAAACTAAATCAATATTACCAATTTAGTTTTACAAATTACTCTGCAACTGAAATGCATTTTTTAGTCAAGTATGTACAGTAGGTTTGTAGGGGGAAAAAATCTGCAACATTTTCTTTTTTAAGCAATGGTTGGAGATTGTTTCTTCCTGCTAAATTATTCATACTATCCATGTTTCAATGAGAATGAAATAGATACTATCGACCCATGTAAAAAAAAAATATTAAATTAAAACATTTTTTTTTAGGAATTTCTGAAATTATTTTGGATGCCATTTTTTATTTTATATGGTCGTCGGTATTTTATCAGGAAACAAAAAATATTTTTTGTATTGGAATGGCAATGAATATAAATTTTCAGGAAACTGACATGAAAACGCCCTAATAAATAAAATACATCTCGTACAAAACAAACTTTGAATATTATTTTTAATAAATTTATTATTTAATATTAAATTGTAATCTCATATACACAATTTGAAATGCATCAATAATTTATTGCCTGAAATGAATAAAATTTTCAACATAATTAAAAAATATGATTCAAAAATTATTGTCTAGCTGGCATTTTAGAATAATCTGAATAATACACCACAGACTGACTGTCAAATATATATATTATGTATATTTTTGCATCTTTTCTGATCTCAGCATTTAATTGAATGACAAAAATATTGGTGTGCTGGACTGAATGATATCTAATTCTTTGTGACGTAGAAATTCAGTAGAAACTACTTAGACATAGTACAATAAACTGATACAGTAACTCTATTGAATTACATTGTAAAGACTTCAACTTTACCAATAACCGCATACAACAATTAAACATCATCAATAATGGCGCAAAATGCACAATAAATAAACTACCAACATTTCCAACAGACTTTTTCATTTCACCTATACAACTCTAAGCAAAGCAGCTAAAATTACTCATCAAATGTTTATATCAATATTCTCTACTGGAATATATTAGTGGTTGTTATAAAAGTTAAATATCTGATTATTTCAGTTCATTGTTCAGTTTGGATATATACTATTAATACATCTGTTTGTTTGAGCATATTGTTTATTTAATTGCTATGCATATATGTACCTGAGTATTTAAAAGCATCTAGACTAGTCACTGTGGAATACTACCCTTAGGGTACACCATTCAGGACTAGCATAACAGTTCATCATATATATTCATGACACTTAATTTTTTCTACTGACTATTCATTTTTCAAATCATTTTGACAACAAACATGTCTCACTTAAATTTAATTTGTTATTAATAGTGGCAAAAATAGCTTTTTAAAAAAAATTTTAACTAAAAAAATTCTTGGTGTTCATGATTCAAGACTTTTCAAGAGTCAGCTACAATTTATGTAATTTATGTCAAATATCAGATTATACCATGGTCGGTAACCAACACCGATACATTTAATAAATTATATGTTTTAAAATTAGAATACACACATTCCTCCTCATCAAATGCAGACATGATTACTTAAATAAATAAATAAATAAATAAATGCATACATACATAAATAAATAAACGCACAGAACAGCCAACAATGTGAATAATTTATGCATTCTATTTACAATGTAATTGCTTCTACTCTAAATATCCCACACTATGTGAAAGTACTGTACATGTAGTTTATTCATTGTACAGTATTCCTAAGACCCAACAACACCTTCTACATTATTGGAATAAAGACAATAGTACACGTATGTCTATAGCCAAGTTGATCTTGATATAGATATATTGACCTCGGCCAAGGTCGATACACAAGATTGTTGACCTGTAGAGAGCATATTGTTGACCGAATAAAACAAACATTTTGTAAAAGGCTACATTAGTTGCGTTCACGCACAGCTCCTTATCACGGGCTAAGAGATCGAAATCCTTAGCCTGTGCTAAGAAGACGTGCGTGAACGCTTAGCACGGGCTAAGGAATGCTATATAAAGCACGGGTAAAATCTAATTCGATTTTAAGACGCTGTCCAGACCCTTAGCACAGGCTAACGAAGTGTGTGCGAACAAGCACCCTCATTCTCATTTCCAAAATGACAATCGAGCTCAGTGTGTACGAAACTTTGTTTCCTCACGAAAACTGGGGCGACGAAGAGACAAAAGATTTACTGGGTATAGACAGCGAAATCTTGAACAGAACAAATGCTTACCAGGATATGCAAGCTAAATTAGAAGTGATGAGATTTTTCAAAAAAGCGGCTTAACAAGGGTCACCGACTGATGACGCCCCTTAGCCTGTGCTAAGGACTGGCCCTTCCAGTGCGTGGACGCAATTGGATTCAGCCGAAATGCAAACATGTGAGATATGCCTAAATCAGCTTAAATCTTAGCCTGTACTACGTGTAGCATGAACAAGATCTAGCTTGCCTAAGTTACCAATGACAGCATCCAGAATGTTCTCCATTCACATGTAGCGGTTTCATCACACTTTGTCGTATGAATTTATATATCATAATCCCTTCTAGAGTTACTGTCACATTTAAGATTAAGAGGTATCAACTAACTACAAGCAACTGTCTGACATTTCAGAATCCACAATGTTTACACATGATGCGAATGCACAAAAACAAAAACAGCACACTATCCTGGGGGGTCAATAAAATAAAACGCAATATAATAACATATTTCTGGTTAAACGTACAATTTTATGTAACCCACATGTATGCACTATAAGTAATAAAATTACTTTGCTGAAATAAATAGAGTACTAAACGTCGGTGTACAAAGTCAATCCTAGAATTGAAACACACGTCGACAGTGGACAATGTCAATCCTAGAATGGAAACACAACATTCAAATACGTAGTGTGCGTAGACAGTGTGATAACTATGGTTAGACCAACCGATATATTCGTGTTGTTCATTTGTGTTGTGTTTATCTCACAGGTACACGATTTCACATTAAACATAACTGAAAATGCACGATATCGATGGGAAGTCAAATATATCTACCGTCAAACACTAAAAATCTGATTGGCTGATAGGGCTATGAGATATATTAACATTATATTACATAATATTATATATTACATTTAGTTATATTAATAATTTATACAAATTAATTTTGTTAAGATTCTTCAAGTTGCCTAGTGTTAGTGTACACATTCATAGTGTTAGCTGTGACATAGTAATAAATTTGTTATGTAGTTTTAGGAAGATTACACCACTCCAACTAATAGATTCATTTTAATATTTATAGCCGTACAGAAACAAAACTTCACAGAAGGTACACTTCAGAGGAAATTAAAGATTCAAATTGGGAATTAATGTGGGATATTTCATGTCAAATCCCATTGTTTTAATAAACCCCTCAATGTATAATCTGCATGTCTCAGCGAGAGTGACGCGATCGTACATGTTCCCAGTATACATGGTGTTCTACATATATCAAAACGTAGACGTGGATTGTGACAGCCTACTATTAAAATGGTATATATGAAAAATAAGAAAAAAAGTTTCTGATCAACTTGTTTTCCAAAATTCAAGTGGTATATAAACTCAGGTTTTTATTTTTGTTTTAAAAATTGTGCTTTTTTTTCATGAAAATGTAATTCAATTTAACAACAAAAAGCTGTTGTGTACACATTTTTAATTGACATGTATGATCAGAATTGGGGTGGGAGGGTTACCACACTTGAAGTGCATATGGACACCTGCCTTGCAGTGGCTTTTAATGTGATAAAATTGCTATATCATATAGGAATAATAATTGATATAGGAATAATATGTCATTTTGGAAGGGCACTGAGATAAATTCATTGGGCATCAAACAAGGAACTTGTTCCTCAGTGAAGTTCAATTCTTGACCAAAAATGAAATTAAACTAAAGGGAAAGTTTTTAAAAAAAGTTGATGCTGGATCAGTCATACATTGAAATCTGCATAAGCTAAGAAGCAGTTGGTTTGTTGAAAATAAAGATAATTTTTCGAACACAAAGGCATAAAGACATGAAGTTCTCTGATCAACACAACAGACACTGAATTTTAAAAAAAAGAAGGAAAACATAAGAACACTTACTGCATACTTCTTGGCTAGATCTCTAAATGTTAAAATAGATGCCTGGAAAGCAGTCCTCGTCTGTGTGACAAACTTTGGTTGTTTACTTGTCAACAATTTTGACAAACTACTGTAGCACTCCTCTTCGTCCATATAATGTAATAATAAACTTGTGATCGCAGGCAATAATGGACAGCAAGTGATGTCCGAGTGTACATGTTCTATTATACACAGGATCTTTTTCACAAGAGATCGTCCCCGAGAGTCCAGAGCGTAGGTCATGATGTAGTCATTGTCAACAAATACTGGAATATGAGTTTGCCAACCTGAAACAATAGGAAAATATAAATATATGTGGAATAATTAAGAACTAGTGTAGGGGGACGATTTTCTTAATTTTTTTAAATATTATATTTTTGTTTAGTTGCAAGCGTTAACTATATACAATGTACAATTAGCTGTAGAATAATATTTAAAGAATAACCAACCTCCGAGGAAGAGTATACTATAAAATTTTGATAAGATTTTGAAAAAAAGTCAGGATGTAGATTCTTTATGCTGTGACTTTCAAGGCATGACATTTATAGGGTGGTGGTCATCCCGCCGTGCATGTGCAACATTTATGTTGATAAACATTGATTTTCCCACAATCCAATGTGCTATGTAATGTAAATCTCGAGTATGAGTTTCGACCTGGACGCAACGTACACTAATTATCGTCAATAACCCCTTTGATGCCTTCCAATCACTAACAAAAAATACATGATTAAAGCTTAGTAACGTCTCAGTTTTTACTCGTTGGTCTGCACAACAGAAGGTTGCCATCTTTGTTCATATGGGTCCCATAGCTCGGGCAAGGGTGGTGTGATGAGTACCCCCTTTTAAAGGGTTTATTCAACATGGCCTCGGCTCATAAACAAAATAGCCAATTTGGGCACACACTCATGCAGAATAATACATGCATGATAAGTCCAAAATTTTTACTCAGTAATTTACTTTGCACAAAGTCATGGCCACAAATTCAGTTTTTTGTGTGGTTGCCATGGCAACAATAAGACAGCATTGTTTCTCAATTTTTCGACTTAATTGCAGGTGTGAGCTTGAATTGGAACATAAATTGTTGTTGTAGTAAATAAAGTGTTGAGAGTTGATGAGTCAGCTTATATTTTAATTTTATGTAAACAAAAAAAAAAATTTGTATTCAACATGTACTTCACATGAGACATACATGACATGCAACACAAGACTGTGCTCGCATTATCTAGATCATTTAAATATCTTCGCTCTAAGTGTGTATAGTAAAGAAACAGAATAACAAAAAAATGTCCTTGACTACCATATGTGTTATTGTTAGTCATTCGAACAATTTAAAAAAATTAGAAATTATTGATATTTTTCTGTTATAAGCTTAAAATTATGGATAATGTTTTTCCTTTCAGACTGTCTAATAACCAGTCATAGTTCAGAAAATTCAAGTGTGTTAGCTGTGCCCATTTTTAAATGTACAAGTTGAAATTTATAGAACATTTACTTACTGAATTAAAATTATAATTATAATAACAGAATGAAAGTCCATAAAAGAAAATAGTAACACACGTGATTTTACGCAGCAATCCTAGATATGAATACTAGCTGACTATACTGAATTGATTATTTGCTATAATCAGAAAAAAAAATATATTGATTCAATCTATTCTTATTTTTTCCCCTAACACCATAACTCATCCTATATGCAATATTGATTATGGTATCCATGGTTTTAGCTTAAGTGTAGGCTACAATAAATTTCATTTTACAGTGATGAAGACAACATTAGTATATAAACATTAAAACATAACACTATGAATATTAGCATATTAGATGATCAAGCACATTTTTTTTTAATACAGTATTATAAATTATTACCGTACTGATAATTACCATTAGAAATATTTTGGCCAAGGAACCAGCCTAGCTTATTTCTCCCATTGAGTGCAAATTAAATTAATAAAAACAAATACTAATAATTAATAATAAGAAATAAGGCCCGAACAAAACTATTTATGTTTTTGGTCAGGTGATTAAAACATATGCATCACAGCTTTTCTTTTGTCAGAATTTTTGAAAATTTTAATAAAAGAAAAAAAATCATGAAAAATACAAATTTAATGACAATTTCCCATTCAAAATAAAAAGCCACCTGAAACATTTTTTGTTTTGGCCTTGTACATCTTAGAAAATATTTCAAGCACATTGTCTACGTGTGTTAACACACTTTATGAATAATAGCAACCAACCTTGAGTATTGGCAGCAGTATCTACATACACTGATGCGGAAACAGTAGACTGGTTACAGAAGACTTCATGCCACAGTTTATGTCGTATTGTATGGGTAGGTGGCCACTGTCCGCTACGAATAGCACGCTTCAGTCTCTTGCCATCAGTGACATCATGGGGCAATATCACGTCAGGTTTCCCGTCGCTGGTCGTCGAAGACGTCGAAGCAGCAGACAGCGACGGTGGAGTGTCACTCAGTTCGCGTATTTTACCGACGTCCACCCATCGACTAAAGGCAGCCAGCTCCGGTTCTGTTCTCTCGCCGCTAGTCATAATGTTGATGTATACAACTTTCAGCAGTATTGGTCAACATAAATCATCCTTCGTGGTAATTAATAAAAACAAAACTCCATTTGTTGCCACTTTCGGAAACTTCCGCTAAAAATACAACGGTAATCAAAGCTGGCACCCGACAATCATGAGCAGTAAATCCTGAGCGGACGACACCGTGAGCGACCACCGTGACATTAATTATCATGTATACAGTACGTACGTCTTAGGTTGAGCCTTCGCCTTCACAGTCCCTCCGTCGCGATTACCATTCACGTTACCTAGGAGATACAGTTTTAAATATTTGCTGAGCTAGAATTCCATCACTGACACCCGGCATCACAGCGTTAACTCGCTCATCGCCATTTTCATTGAATAAGTGAATGTATTGTTTGTAATTTCTCTTCTCCAACGCATTCGTGGAAGTTTCACACCATAAATATAACAGCGTCCGAAATAATTTCGAAAAATCTGTCGATATTCGGAAAAAAAATGAGTCATTATATCATTTATAGAAGTTACAATTTAATTTTTATTGGCACGTGAAAGAATGCACGTTAATTTCGGCTGGGAAAAGACTACACCTTGCTGTGAGATCAGTCACCAACAACACAAAACATGCATTTAAATTAATTTATAAATTTAAATACTAGTAATTATAAACTGAAAGTGAGAGTTAAGCTCTTTCAGATATGCAAATCAGTAAATAGCTCTATTGCAATCATATGTCCGTCATGTATTGTTTTTTCCGAGAAATCTGAGATATATCGTCACCTACTTTTTCACTGGGTTGTCAGTCTGAATCCAAAAAAAATCGTTGATGAAAAATCTCAAAAACCACAGAAAAAGCCAACAGATGACAAAATAGGCACAAGTAGAACTTTGGAACCACAGCTAAGTGGCGACTACGCTCAATATACTTTCGTTTATTCGAGTCGTTCAATAAGTGAGGGCGCACTTTTAGTTCCATCAACGCTCATCCCATCAGTATACATTCAACATTCACGTTCATTCAGGAATGCAAGATCTTTGGTTCAATATAAAAATGTTTTACAAGTCCAAAACGGCACACAGCCGACAATTATTACATCCATGATAATACAATACATAAATAAAAGAAATAAGTTTTATTATATAAAAACACCATGATAAAATATTGCATTTTCCAAATTGTTTTAAAGAATTTTACATCTTGATAACGAAATGATTGATTGATTATAAAATATAAAACAAAATGTTTTATACTGAAAACACGAGTTTTTAATTACATGTACGCGTACGTAAATCTAGAGCGCATGCGCATTATATTTTTTCAGCATTTCATCAAAAGAATACTATGGTATACAAAACAAGGGTTTCAATCGTGCAAATCATACATTACCGTAATGTTTACGAGATGGAATATAGAAAAAGACATAAACATAGTTTTA